GCAGTTGAGATGGGCGAGGCTTACTCAGGTAACCCAGAATAGCAGTACCCATGACCCGGGGACTGAGGAAGACCCTGAGTCAGGTGGGCCAGCCCTGCCACCCTGGGGCTGCATAGGCTCAGGAAAGTTCCGAAAGTTCCAACAGCAGCTTACTTTATAAAGGGCTGTGGGGAAGTCAGCCTCCCTCTGGCTGTCCCCCTTCTGTGACGCTTCCTTCAAACACAGTAGTCTTTCCTGGTTCTGTGGGGGCCTCTGGCTGCCCAGCTCCTGGCATGCAGTGGGCCCTCAGGAGTCTGTTCAGTGATAGAGCGACCACTTCAGCCACTCACTTGCCCGATTTTCAGATAGCACAGGGGAGGCCCAGAGGTGGCAGGGTGCCACAAAGATCCAGCAGTTCATGCTGGTTCTGACTTGGCTCTGGGCTTCCTGAGGAGTGGGAATTCCATGGTGCCTTCCTGCACCCTCCCCCGGCACGGGGAGTGGTGGTGTGTGGCGGTGGTGTGGCCGGCACAGGCGCCTGGAGCCTCTGTCCCCTGCCCCTTTGTCTCGCGTGACACAATGGGTGGCTTTTTGTCCCCATAAAGGCCCTTTCAGTGTAGGGAGAAGGGCCAAGGCGGGGGCGGAGATTGGGCCTGGCCAGGCCAAGTTCTGAGTGTCCTTGGGCTGCCCAGATGTGTCCTGAGTGACGGGAACTCCGGGACAGGTCATTGGTTACCTGGGCCTGAGTTTCCTAGATGGTGCAGTCAGGGGAAGAGGGAGGGCTAGAGAAAGAACAGCCATTTTGGTTCCCCAGCCATCAATGGCCCTCACCCTCACATGGTTTATAAAATATTTGGTTTTAACTAAGCATGGTGGTGCACACCTATAATCCCTGCACTTGGGAGGCTGAAGCAGGAGGGGATGGCTGTAAGTTTGAGGTCAGTCTGGGCTACATAGTGAGTTCAAGGCCAGCATGAACTACATAGTGAGACCTGGTCTCAAAAAACAAAACGTAACAAAAACCCCTAAAACATTTGGTTTTATTACCAGTGTTGGAACTAGAGACCTCACATGTACACTTAGGTTCCTACTGTTGCTTACAGAATTAGCATTTCTGGCTGTCCCAAGCCCAAGTCCCCACCAGATACCAGCAGATAGCTCTTGTGATCCAGAAACCTCCCCTGGGCCTCCTCAATCCTTTGTGTCCTGCCTGCCCCAGCAACTACTGAGTTTAAGACCCTAATGTCATCCTCCAGGCCTGAGGTGCTTTCTCTTCCCCTGGCCTCCAAAGGTCCTGGCTCCTTCGTGCTGTGATCACTTCCTACCATGCCCTGGATTCTCCACCAGCCACACAATTGCTGTGGCCTGTACTGTTCATTCCCTTCAGGTTCTCCTGCGGGACACACCTGTGAGGTGACAGGGATAGACATAGCTTCCCATCCAACTTCCTCATGGGTCAGATGACAAAACAGCTCAGAATGGCTGGTACTCTCCCAAGGCCACACTGTGAATCTCCAAGGAAGTGGGGAGGATAAAAGGAGAGTTGGGGTACTACCTCTGGGCCAGAGAGGAGTTAGCTTGGCAATTGTGGGGTTGTTGGACCCTTTCTCCACAGAGGGAGGGGACCTGGAGGAGGCCTGTGAGGACGCTCCTACTCTCATGCAGGGGGGAAAGGCAGGTTTAAGGGATTAATGGTCTGCCCAAGGGTCCCCTTGGCCTTGGAGGAGGTGACGGGGTGCTTCCCCACCCCCAGCCCAGCTGCCTCATTGGCAAGGTGGGCAGCACTGGCACTCAGGAAGGGCCTTTATCAAGTGGGCCCTGTGCCTGGGGCTGATGTTGGGATTATTTCTTCCTCACTGTGGTAGCACAGCCCTGGGAGCCATGCATACCAACTACCTCAGAAGAGGAGGACTGACTCACCCATGTTCCTAGCTCTCCGAGTGATAGGAACCTGGGGTGAGTTCAGTTCTGCCAACCACTTTGCCCGTATTACTTCATTTACACCTCAGAGCCACCCCATGAAGTAAGCACCTTTTGAAGGTGAAGACATGAAGCAGAGAGGTGACGTCTCTTGCCTGGAGTCACTCAGCTACGACACTGACAGGGCCTGAGCTTGAACTCAGGGAGTCAGCAGGCCAACCTTCCCTTGCACCTGACACCAGTGTGACCACTCAGTCACAAGGGAGCATGGCACCCTGCCACAGGTAGGGAGAGAAATTCAGAAAAAGTTCTGCAAACAGGGTGATGTAGTAAAACTAACAGAAATGTATTGTCTCGCTGTCCAGGAGGCTGGAGTCTGAGATTAAGGCATCGACCAGGGCGGCTCCTTGAGGAGGCGCCCGGAGAATCTGTCCTGTGCCTCCCTCCTGGTGTCTGGTGGTGACTGTTAGTTCTTGGTGCTCCTTGGCTTGTGGACACTGGCTCATGCCTCTGGCTCCATCTTCATGTGATCTCTGTGCCCTAGTTTCCTGTTCCCGTAAGGGTCAGTCATGGGATTAGGTGTACCCTGATCCAGTGTGACCTCCCTTTAACTGACATCCACAAAGACCCTCTCTCCAAATCAGGTTTGGGGTTAGGACATAACCTAGGGATGCCATTGCCACCACAGCAGGAGGTAATAGGGAAAACCTGCACTGAGTCACAGAAGGACACACACCGCCTACAGCAGGCCACTGGTCGTGCTGTCACTGTAGGCAGTTTCTGGGGACAGTGGCAGAGCTGAGCTGAAGCAGGGAATACCTCCTATCCTGGCATCTGTGACAAATCCTCCACTCTCTGGCCCTGCAGGTGGTTCCCATAAAAATATCTCCCATTGCCCAGTTGTTTAGAAACCCTTTGGCTTCTAGTTCTCATTTACCTGCAGTACTTTCCTGGGGAGGCCTCGCAGGGACCTTAGAGTTTGGAAGAAGGGAGAAGAGGAAGTTTGGCTGTCTTTGTGTAGGGGGGGCATGAATGTGTGAGAACATAACACAGATGTACATGTGGACGCTTTTGGGGCCACTCCATAGGGACAGATGGACACACAGGACACCGAGTTCTGCCTTTCCCGGGGACGCACACCCCTCCCTCACCTCCTTGCTCTTTGCACGTGGATCTCTTCTGTGGAGCTCATGTGTGACCCACTGCTTCAGGGCTGCATCCGGCTCTCCTCACTGGCAGGCGGGCACCGGGCGCATGAGAACTGATACCATGCTGCAGTGGGTGTGCAGATGGACGGGCACGGCTGAGCCTAGAGAGGGGATGCTTGGGGGCCGCAGGCAGAGGGACCTGAGTGAGGCCCTGGTGGGTCTCCTGCCTTAGCCCCTGCCCCCAGCTGCCAAGCGCAATGGTTCTTGCTCTGGACAGCTCTGATTAGCTGACAAGTCTTCTGGCCTTTTCTTCCTGCTGGAGTGGGGTCCACAGCAGGAAGGGATTCGGTGGGCCCCAGCTGTGAGAGGCTCAGGGGTCTGTGGCTTCTGGAGCTGAGTCCTGGGTGGGGGCTTGCAGGAGGTGATTGGCCAATGAAGGGTCAGTGGACCGAGTTCCCTGTGCTGAGCTGGGTCTCCCTGGGAACCAGTTTGTCTGGTTCCGATGGAGGAGTGGACATTCCTTGTTTTGGAGCAGAAGCAGAGGAGGCTGGCTCCCTGGGCACCGGGCCAGGCAGCACTAGAAATTCCCACTGCTTATCTAGGCTTCATCTCCTCGGCTATCTTTATGGATGTGGAAACCAAGAGTGGGGCTGGAGGCAGGACAGGGCTGGCCAGGACAGGGTGAGGCCAGCTGTGCCCGTGGAGCCAGCTGAAGTGCCCTGGTTTTTACATATCACTCAGAACTCATGGTATTAAAGCTGCAGGGAAGGACAGATCTGGGTTCCAGCCCTGCCCTGCCTTTTATCCATGGTGACAAGAGGCATGCCTCCTGATCGTCTTGAAAAGTGGGGGTAACAAAAGGTACAGACTGATGAAAGGGCCATAGGGGAGCAATGTTCCCGGCCCCATGCAGGTGCAGAACAGGAGGCACTAAGTATGCAGTTGCTGTGACAAAGCCAGTGAGTAATAAATGACAGAAGGGACTGACAGGTGCATAGGAGCATGAACATGGATTGGTCTCTCGATTTTCAGTTCACTGAATTTCTGACTTCCTTTCAAATGGCTGGAATGAGGCAAAACATGGCAGTGGCCCCTAGGAGCTTGCTGGAGAGGAAAGCTAGTTGTTTTGTCCTTGATATACCCAGTTCTCACCTGGAGAAGGGGCAGAACATGCCACTTCAGAGTATTTATTTGTTCTCAGAACATAATATTACTGGGTGTGGTGGTGCACGGTTGTCATCCAGCATTTGGAAGGCTGAGGCAGGAGGATGGCCATAAGTTTGAGGCCAGCCTGGACTACATAACAAGACCCTGTCTCTAAAACAAGCAAACAAATGGAAAAGAGCATAACCTTACCAAGCACTAGGGATCATGGCAACCCTAATGTGTCTGTCTCAGACCAGATGACCTAGGGGTGGTGGGGACGAGTGGGAGCTTGCTCCAAGGCATCCTGCCCTGGTCCTCACTAACAAGGCCCTGCCTCCAGCTGGGTGTGTTCAATGGGTCCTTGGATACCACATAGCCTGTCTGTAAGGGCCTTAAGTCCAGACTACAGGAGCAGGGAAGGTATCCTGGAACACATACTATCTCAGCTAAGAGAGGCCAGTGTCACACAGAACAGTGGAGATTGAAGAGGATTGGGCGTGGTGGTGCACACCTGTAATCCCAGCACTCAGGAGGCTGAGACAGGAGGATCACCATAAGTTCAAGGCCAGCCTGGACTCCAGAGTGAGTTCAGCACCAGCCTGGACTACATAGTGAGACCTCAAAAAAACCTAACAACAAAAGTAAGAGGGACCAGGCAGAAGCTCCAGCACTGTTGTACACAGCAGGAGCCAAATCAGTATTTGACTAAATGAGAAATGAGGCTGAGGCCTTGGGGCCTGATCTCTTGCCTCCAGCCAGAACTGTGGGGCTCTGGGAGACCGGCCCTGTGCTGTCTCATCCCTCCAGGCGCTGGGGCTGCTGGTGTGGGCCCTGATTGCGGACACTCCGTACCACCTGTACCCAGCCTATGGCTGGGTGATGTTCGTTGCTGTTTTCCTCTGGCTGGTGACAATCGTCTTCTTCATCATCTACCTGTTTCAGCTGCACATGAAGTTGTACATGGTGCCTTGGCCGCTGGTGGTAAGTGTGGGCCGGAGAACTGAGGGTGGCTGTGACAGAGCCACTGTGACCTTCCCCAAATGGTTAGTGACCTCCCCACTTGTCTTCAGCTGACCTGTGGAGCAGGTGGGGAGCGGGTTGATGTTCAGGGGTGTGGTTTTCTTTTCTTTTTTGGTACGGGGGATCGAACTCAGAGCCTTCTGCTTTTGAGTCAGGCGGTGGCACCACTGAGCTAATTCCCGGCCCCAGGGGTGTGGTTTTCTGAGAGCCACACTCCAGACTTTGCCTGGGAAGGGGTGGGGCCTGTGTAGTGAATTCACTAGAGGCCACATGGAATCTTGAACCTATTTCTCCTTTTTAGGGTGGTCAGCATTTGAGTGTGTTGTGTGGGTGGTTAGTGTCTGGCTGGACCCCATGGGCAGCTGGAGGCTGGGGCCAGGCCACAGGAAGGCTAGGACACTTTCCTGCAGAGGGCCCTGCATCCCAGGAGAGGACACTAGGGCCCGGGTTTGCCCCTAGTCAGTCTCCTTGGGGGCACCGGACTGAGAGGAGGGTAGAAAGTACTCTGACCAGATACAGAGAAAGCTGCTGGTTTTTTGGTTTTGTTTTTTTTTTTCTCTGACCTGGAAAACCCCTGCAGCTGGGGTCCAGCCTTTCAGTGAGCAGAGAGGCACACGATTGTAAGACCAGCAAGGCTTCGACTAGGCAGCACTGTTTGCAATTCAATGACTTTGTAAGCAGAGGAAATGTGAGTCATCCTCCAGACAGAATGGGTTTGTTAGATCTTGACATCACTGCAGGAGCCAGGCAGGTGTGCAGTGGTGGCTGGGCTTGGAGGGGAGAGGAACTGGTAGGCTGACTTCCAGGCCGAGGCTCCAGCCCCCTGTCCCTGTCCTGTGTTCCCAGAGCCTCTAAGAAAGAAGAGTCCTGAGCCGGCAGCCCCCAAATCTCTGAGGCTGGGATATGGGGCTCCCAAGCAGCTGTCTCCTCAAGGAGGCTCCATCCCTGAGGCCCCAATGGCAGGCACTGTTTCTGTGCTCAGGGCCTTTAACTGATGGGGAGGGAGGACTGAAATGCAAATACAGAAGGCTGGGTGGGATGGGCCCAGGCTAGACTGGCAGAGTGAGGAAGGACAGGAGGGACAGGAGGGTTCTAGAAAATGCTACACGCATTGGTCCAGGGGGAGCTGCTTCTACTCAGCTCCACCTGTTGCCTGTGGGACTACAGGCCCCTTGGTGCCAAATCTTGTTTTTGTTTTTTCTTCTTTGCAGTGCTGGGCGTGAGGGGATGGAACCCAGGGTCTTGTGCATGCTGGGCAAGTGCTGTACCACTGAGCTACACCCCAACCCTCCAAGAACTTTTGATACAAAAAATTTATATGAATTTTTAAGTTTTTATAGGAAATCTAGTTTTAAAATGTTGGCAATTAAAAAAAAATCCATTAGGGCTGGGGATTTAGCTCAGAGGTTCCAGCACCTGCCTTGCAAGCACAAGAGCCTGAGTTCGATCCCTGGTACCCGCCCCCAAATCCATGCACAAACCAAATGTTTGAGGACCATTAGTTTGAAGACCTAACTGGCTCCATGGGGCCTGCATGTAGAAAGGGCCTGGCTGCCGGCTGAGGGCTCCTTCCTGCCAGTCTGCCTCGGCCTCCTCATACAGCATCTGGGTCCTCTGAGTTCCTGACGCTGGGATCCTAAGCCCTACATGGTGCCGTTGCTCCTGAAATTGTTGAGCCACCTTGTGTTGCCTTTTCTCCCCACCTCCCAGTTCATGATCTTTAATGTCACTGCCACCGTTCTCTACATCACTGCCTTCATCACCTGCTCTGCGGCAGTGGACCAGACGTCCCTGAAGGGCTCCCGGCCATATAACCAGCGTGCAGCTGCCTCTGTGAGTAGATCCCTCGGTGCTAAGCCAGGGTCCCTGACTCTGAACTCACTGGCCCCCTCGGTCTGAGCCAGGCACCTGACACCTCCTGAGTGGTCCCCAGATGATCTCTCAGTGGGTCTCAGCAGGGAACCAGGCTGCTCTCAGGTTTCCTTAATCCCCAGTAAAACCTGGAGGAGTGCCAGGTGTGGTGGCGCATACCTGTTATCCCAGCACTCAGGAAGCTGAGGTAGGAGAATCCCTGAGTTTGAGGCCAGTCAGCTACAAAGTGAGTTCAAGGCCAGCCTCAACTACATAGCAAGACCATGTCCTAAACAAAACCCCCAAACCCCAGAAGAGTTGGGGAATGGTATATGTGGTCAGTGAAAGTTTGAGTTAACTAGAACTCTGCTGAAAATCAGTTTTGACACACTGATTTATGGTCAAATGTGCCCTTGTACAGTATTAACTATGGCCCTCCTCCTTTGACAAGTGCCCATTGCAAAAGCTTTGGGTTTAAACAATGTCTAGGATTTATACGGTCTCCTATGAAGACCAAACTTGGGCCCCACGTCAAGTGGCCAGAAAAGTCTTCAGTCCCCTCTGTATCTGTCCGGCTTCATTCTGCAAGACCCTGCACACCTTCCTTTTAAAAGGAAGGAGCCTCTAGCTCAGGGAGGTAAAGGAATGTGCCTGGAGGCATGGTCATGACCAGGGTAGAGCAGCCTTGAAATCTGTGAACAGGACAGAAATGTGGAGCTTTTGAATGCAGATACAGGTGTGAGTGCAGTGATAGAACCGATTCCAGAAAATTCCAGGGTGGCTTTTTTTGCAGTGCTGAGGACCAAACCCAGGACCTTGTGCAAGGTGGGCAAAGCGCTCTACCACTGAGCTACATCCTCTTAAAAACTGAGTCCTTGCTAGGTCTCTAAAGTAGGACCTAGTCCAGGGTCACTCCTTTCACGGTCCAGTTTGATACTCTTGCTTGTCCGTGGTGCCACCTGACATACCTTGCCTGTGTGGATCTAATTCTCGCCCACTTGGATGGAATGGGGGCATCCATAGCCCCATAGGCCCATAGGAAGCAGCTGTCCAACAAGTAGGGCAGGGGTGGGGTAGGGGCTACTGGACAGCTTGTCCTGGTTAATGGAGAGGTGGTGCCCTTGGTTTTACTCCCAGGGCCACCTGGGTCCTCACGTTTGCCCATTACTATGTCCTATGTCCATTCTGACCGCATCGGCACCCCTCCTCCAGTTCTTCGCCTGTCTGGTGATGGTCGCCTACGGAGTGAGCGCATTCTTCAGCTTCCAGGCCTGGCGAGGAGAGGGCAGCAATGCAGCCACCAGTCAGATGTCTGGTGGCTACGCCTAAGGCACCTGTGCCGTGGCCCACCCTGGGGCTGAAGCTGCTGCTGGGTCACAGTGCAGGGACCCAAGAGCCAGAGGCAGAGCCCTGTGAGGAGTCAGCCTGGTGGGGCTGCACCTGCCCTCCCAGCTTGCCTAAGGACACAGGCCTGAAGTGGCTGTGATGGCTGGCAAGAGCCAACAGCTGTGACCTCTTCCCCCCTGCCTCTTATTCAGCAGAAGGTGGTGGGGGATGTGGGGCTTCAGAGGGCTTCAGCATCCAAGCCTGGGGCCCACCCTTCTCACCAGCACTAAACACACTAAGACTCAGACCTGCAGCCCTGACCTGCCCTAGTGTGAACCTAACAAGCCACTCAGACTTATCTCAGTCTTTGTTTCGGGAGAGCTGAGGGTGCACAAACCATTCTCTCCAATCCTCTCCTCCCCCAGTAACCCTGTCACCTGTAGGGAGATGTTTATGAGAAGACAGGATTTCAGACCTCCTGGTTATTTAACACAAATCGGGTTTAAGCACCTTTTCAATGACATCCAACCTCTCTGGGTCCCCCTCCCTCAGCCAGTCTCAGCTGTAACTTTCCCTTTGGGAAAAGCCAACATCAGTGCCACTGCTTTCCCCCTTGCTGTTGATTAGTCACATGGGACACGGAGGGAGGGAAGTAGGATTTTGCCTGGTGAGCTGTAATGTGGTTGGTCATGACTTTGTTGTATTTTTTTTTTACAAAAATAAAGATGGCATAGCTCATTTGGAAAAGATGTGGGGAATCACAGTTGTTGAATTGTGTTAATTCCAGGCAGCTGCAGGATAAGACCATGGAAAGAATGCCCATCACGGGGCAGCTCGAGCTGTGGATTCACTCAGCACCACTAGCCAGCTGTGTCCTGAGGGAGGCCACCCACACTTCCTGCCTGCTTGTTGGACAGTCCTGGCAGAAGTTCAAAAGCACCTCCTTTTATTCCTAAGTATCCCAGGGGCTGGGGATGTAGCTCAGTGGTACAGCGCCCTGGGTTCAATCCCTAGCATCACACTGCAAACAAGTAACAAAAAAGGTGTTCCAGGGTTAACAATATTTAGTTACCACCCTGGCTTTATTAGCAAGTTAGGTGATCTTACAGATATAGGATTTCAACACTGTCATCGATCTCAAAAATCTGTAAAGCTCTGAGATGACACAAGGTAGCTATCAGGAGATTCTGAGAGCTGGTAGAGACAGCTCAGCTCTCCTAACCTCCTTTTTCTAAAACCAGAGGGAAGCACTCTCACGATAGGCCAAAGGCATTTCTAAGTACCCTGTGATGACACCCCAACCCCCTTTTTTTTTGGGAGACGGTCTGTCTAGTCCAGGCTGGCCTCAAACTCATGGTGATCCTCCTGCCTCAGCCTCCCAAGTGCTGAGATTACAGGCATGTGCCGCTATGCCCAGCTCTGTGGTCCTTTCAACTGGCAAAAAATGAAGAGTCAAACAGCTGTGGATGACCCATTGTGTTACTGAGGGATGGGGATCACAGGGGGACCCATACTCCAGTTTATGCTGTGTCCTGGTATAATATTAACAGCATCTCTTTACATTCAATGTTTAAAGTTTGAATAATAAATTATAGTCATTCCAGGATCATGGTGGAAAAAGTTTGACTTTAAAGAAGAGCAACCAATGCATGAAAAATCATGCATGTCGTTATTATACAAATGCTTTAAAAATTAAAAAAAAAAAAAAAAAAAAAAAAAAAGAAGAGCAACCAAGTTTGAGGCTTAAGAGAAAACAAAATCCTAGACAAGCTAGAGCCCACCTGGCTTTCTGACACTTAACATGGCTGCTTGAGGGCAGACACTACAGACTGAGTTCTTCACTGCTGCATCCCAGGAATAGAGGGTCCTGAGCTCCAGGAGAGCGCAGCTGCCTACTGGGCTGGTCCTGAATGTCACTCACCCCAGGCCATCCCAGAGACCCATCAGAGGACGTGCATGACATCCCAGTCTTAGTTAATGGATAAGAAAGGATTTCTAGTTTAAGAAAAATATGCTGGGCATGGTGGCACATGCCTGTAATCCTAGCTATCTGGAAGGCTGAGGCAGCGGGATGGCAAGTTAGAGACCAGCTAGGCAACTTGCCAAGACCTTGTCTCAAAAATAAAACTAAAAAGGGTGGGAATGCAGCTCACTGGTAAAGTGCCTGCCAATGATACACAAGGGTCAATCCCTAGTAAACTATTAAGACATGGTCTTGCTATGTAGTTCAGGCTGGCCTCAGTGAACTCACTATGTAGCCCAGGCTGGCCTTGAACTCATGGGAGTCCTCTTGCCTCAGCTTCCCAAGTGCTGGGATTAGAAGCTGCTTCTTGTGTAGAAAGGGTGAAAAGGACAGTTTCCCTTTTTTCTTGGTCTTCATTATTTCATCTTTGGACTTGTTGCCTGCCTTTTCTCAACCAGCAGGCTGACCAACAGTTCTTACCACCTGCTTCTAATGTGTCGGCTGTGATGGACGGTCCTACTTACAAAGCAGCAGGAAGGGTAGCCAGCCCAGCAGAGATGGCATGGACAGAGCTGGCTCTGAGAGTGACTTGGGTTTGGAGGGACCAAAGCAGTAATAGCTGTCATGGTGGCTACATTGAGGGGTAGGGATAACTCATTTAGAGTGATGGCTCTTGCAAAACACCTCAAATTTTACTCATGGTATAAAAGTAAGTAACACATTAGTACAGAAAAACACACATTTTATAGCTTATCCTTTAAAACCAGAATGGCCAAGTGAAGTGAAAAGAAGTACAGATTCTTATTTTCACTATAAAAAAGTACACATTAAGAATTGAACTGTTTTTCTTTGTAGAAACATGACTTGTTTCCAGGTCGGAAATGGTCTACCAAACACTGCTAAGTCAAAGCTGACAGGTGACCAGTAAAGGGTCCACTGCCACAACTCATGCTGAGCCAGACAGGGAGCACCATATCGGCAGGAGAGGTTTGGATAGGAAGAAAAGGGTGCAGAGGCTCTACGTACTCCAACAGAAACCCAAACAGAATGGCTTATATGGAAAAGATTTAAGCAAGCGTGCAGAAACACTCTTAACATGCTTCGACAGCAGGATAGCATTAATTTACTGTAATAGCAAGATAGCTTCCTTCAGTCTATTTGCAGCACATGCATCCACAGCAATGTAGGAAGTACTTTTGCCTTCACAGCACTGACAACTACAGAGCACACAGCATATAATACTTTGATCTTTAAGTGGGTAATCATGGAAGTTCCAAGATCATATCCACGAGGTTAGCCTGAGTATTCATCTATAAAAATATTTTCTTGAAAATGTTTAAAAAGAGACGTTTAGAAACAGGGAAGACTACATCAGAACCAGCAGAAGATGGTGTTACAAGGACTGCAGACGTGAGACAGGAGTGGATTTTCAATGGAGCTTATAGGTAAAGGGCATCTCTCTTGGTTGCTTTCTCCAGCCAGGAGGGGGTCATGGCAGATTCTGAGATCTCAGGTTGGGTGGCTGGCTCAGGAGAGTGACTCCCTGGATTAATACTCCCTAACAAAAACCCCATTAAGATTTAAGGTCTGAAACTCTGACCTATGTAAAAAAGAGCTATGAATACACAAAAGGACTCATGCCAAGCCTGCAGGGATAGAGGGTTGGTGACTGAGCTCCTGCACACCACTGACAGCCATATCAGTGTGCACGCTGGGGATGGCTGGCGTAGGGTTGCTCCAGTTCCTGACTCAGAAGCATCCAAGTGAGATGTCCACAGGGAGGAGCACTAGGGGTACTAAATAAAGGAAGGTGGTTCAGGAGAAACAGGGCTAGGAGGACCAGGTCATGTTTCTGACCCACCAATACTTAACACGAATGAAGGGCTGTAGAATAGCAGGCTTTCCAAAATGCACTCTCCTGTTATCAGCTGAAGTCTCAGAGCCCTTTAGCTGGTGACCTCCAGAATGATCCCATTCATTACCTAGTGCCTCAGGTTGTTCTGGGAAGCCGGCACTGCAGATGATTTGCACAATGATGTCACCACCAAGCCACTGCTTAAATCCAGCCCCCGGCCTTCCTTTTCCTATACAAGAAAAGAAACAACTTCAAGAGGTCTTTCTGGTTCAGGACCCTGCCTGTGGTGCGGGGAAGGGACAGTTCCTGGTGGCAGGGTGGAGACGGCCACCAGGGAGTACACAGGACCGGGAGGTGGCTTATTTTGCATTTCTGCACAAAACTGGCTGCAGGTACTTGAAACATGTATTGCTCGCTCTTCACTGGAAAATATATTTCTTATGAAGAGCCTGCAAGACAGAATCATGCCAGCTCTTTGGGGTTTATCTTATTTAGGAACCCTAAGGGTGGCACCTGGGCCTGTATCACCAAAGCATGAAAAAGTCCCTGCATGAGTGGGGTGGTAACCCCACCCCACCCTCACTTCGATGGCTGTTGGACAGACACTGGCCAGTTTGGGGGGTCAGAGGGAGGCAGGAGGATGCACAGGAGATGGCTGTATTCACTGGGAATTTCTCAGTAGTTCAGTGTGACTAGATAAGCTAACAGTTGTAACTTACTGCTCTGTAGTCCAGAAACATTTCTTTAAAAGCCAGAAAATCTGTAAATGTGAGCAGCATGTCAAAGATGTCACCAGCCACTTCATCTTTATGGTGCCTGTAAAGGACAGGGTGGCAGCTGCAGGAACAAATGTTAAGACAGAACCTCTGCAAAATGTGAACACAGGTGGTGAAGGGCCCCCACCCACACCTAACACCAGGTTCTCACTAGAAAATAAGGGAGGGTGTTTTTATCTCCATCTCAGGAAGGAGGGAAGTGAGAAACAAGACAGTCAAGCTGGACTCACTGTAACGTTGTCGTGAAGGCCGCCATGCTGAACCCTGGGATCCGCTCCAGCAGCTGCTCCTCAATGTACTTCTCCACTAGAGAAATCTGTAGCAGTGGGAAGCATCACGGCATAGCATACTTTAGGGAAGCAGGACTCGTATTTAGAAAGCCCACCCTCCAGCCCTTGGCAGGAATCTCTGAGCTTTTTTTTTTTTTTTTTTTTTTTTTTTTGGTACCAAGGATCAAACTTGGGTCCTTGCACTTGCAAGGCAAGCAGTGGAACCAGAGCTAAATCCTCGGCCCTCTGAGATCCTATTTTATAAACAAGCTCTGTGCCAAGTACTGGTTATTCAAGAGGGAAGCATGACCCAGGTCCTGTGCTGGCTAAGTCCTGGGCCTGCCTGGTACCCAGGGGGACATTTGGAAGTAGCTGTGTAATCACAAGTTGGTTACACGAGTTGGGTAAAGGCAGAGAGCATCAGAGCTCCCCTTCTCCAGCACAGGTCAGGAAGGCAATGAGTTGAGCTCCTCTTCCTGTGTAGACGGAACCTGTGCAGACTAAATGTGTGAGCAGCTCACTTGGAGGCAGCCATGGCTCCTCCTGAGCCAGTTTGCTCCATGATGCCTGCTTCTGTGTTTGGAAAGAAAGTACTAGAGATGTGTAACTCTTAGACAGATGAGGTGAATCCAGGAGGCTGCAAGAGGTTTCAGGGTATGGTCTAAGAATCCAAAGGTGAAGAGCTGAGGTTCTTGGACTTCAGTCTTGTTTTTTCCACTACCTAGTGAGTGATCTTGGTCTCTTTCACATTTATTTAACAGCTGTGTGTACTTTACTGGATTATGTAGAAAAAAGCACGAAAATAAAAAAGGTTTGTCAAAATCACATAAATGCAAGGGACGGTAAACTGTACTGAAGCTGAGGCCAGGATTACAGTGAGGCCAAACTTCTTTTAAGAAACTGCATACTCATTAACTGTTGCCCGAAAGCCTTTTGGAAAACAGCCCCAAGAGAGAACTAATGGAAAACGAGGAAAATGAACTAAAAAATTCTAATCCGAATTCCTGGCAATAAATGCTGGCATATTTTAAAAGATGTGCAAATTTTGAGCTTCCTTTGATTCTTTTGTACTGGGCATTGAACTCAGAACCTTGCACTTTCCAGGCAGGCATGGCGCCACTGAGCTACATCCCCGGCCCCAGCCTCTTGATTCTAAACTCAATTTTTTTAGTACTACTGGGCATTGAACCCAGGAACTTCACACTGAGCTACATCCCCAGCCCTTCTTTATTCTAAGATAGGATCTCACTAAGTTGCCCAGCCTGGGCTGGAACTTGCAATCCTACCGCCTCAGCTTCCTAAAGTGCTGAGATTATAGGTATGGTGCCTAGCTCTTAAATCCAAATTTTAAAGAAACACTAATGACGTGGTAGAAGAAACAAATCTACTTACATATTCATTAAAAATGAGTGTGTAGATGAGTTTATTCTCCTCTGTATCTTCAAACTCCTGGTAGTACTTGTCCATGAAATTTCTCTGTAGCAACTGGAACTCATGATCTGAACACAGTAGGGAAAACATAATCTTTTTAATGGAGATGAAAAGCCATTCTGATTTATAAGAGGGCTGCTTTTTCAGCAGCCAGTCTAAGACAGGAAAAGCTGATGTTTTACAAGGGGGTAAAAGGGACTCTGATGTTGAAACAGACCAATCAGTCTTATTTATTTTTGTGGTACTGTGGTTTGAACTCAGGTCCTTTGCACTGAGTTATATACCCAGTGCTTCTTTATTTTTTTTTTTTACTTTGAGACAAGGTCTCACAAAATTACTGAGTTGCCCAGGTTGGGTTGGAACTTGTATCCTCTTGCCTTAGCCTTTCTGAGAGCTGAGATTGCAGGCATCCACCACTATACCCAATTCATGTTAATCATTTTAAAGTATACAGTTTGGTATGCTTAGGTATGTTCACATTTCTGTGTAACAATGAACACCTTACGCCCATTCATTTCAGACACATCTATACAGGCTGGCTTAGGAACTTCCTAGCACTATTGGTAAAGGTACAAATTGGTTCTCTTTTAGAAATTATATGTTTGCTATGTCTACAAAGGTCAGTTCTCAAATTAGGGAGGCTTCAAACCAAATGGCAAGAAGCCCTCTCTCCTACTTTAATTATTACATCAGTATTGAAAACAGTATAGTGATTAAAAGTGCAGGGCCTGATACAGACCAGATTGCCTAAATTCAAATCCCACCTCAACCACCTGTGTGACCTATGGCAATTTGCCAAACTTCTCTAACTCCCAGTTTCTTCATCTGGAAAACAAAAATGATTATAGTATCGGTCATAGGGGATTGCTAGGTGGAACTTAAGTTACAATTTGTGATTAGTTCACACAAATGCTTAATGTTAGGGAATAGGTAATGTTAACAACTAAATAGAATTTTGTTTCAAAAAATAAAAGAAAAGCTTCAAAAAGGACACAGACTTTGGGAAAAATAACCTGGGCTTAGAGAAGGCTCATTTCTCCTCAGAAGACAGACCTCATAATGGACAAAATAAGCAGATTCTTCAGTATTCCCCAGAAATCTTCAAGTTCATAGGTGAGAGCTTAATGGCCGTGTCTGTACTTGGGTGTTATGCATGAATCTTACAGGTCCTGAAGGTTCAAAGACTTTGTCAGTGATTTTCAGACTAAACTAAGATTAAGCTGTACAGTGAGTAACACCGTCTTTTCCTAATTCTCAGAAAGTTTAAGTCAGTAGACAAATTTTTCATTTTTCTCTGTGCATGTTTGTTTTAAAAATTTTAAGCCTAGCTGGGTGTGGTGGTGCCAGCACTTGGCGAGGCTGAGGCAGGAGGATCACCTCTAGTTTGAGGCTAGCCTGGGCTACACAGTGAGACCCTGTCTTTAAAAAAAAAATTGACTGTGACATAGCAGGATTTACAAATGCCAAAATCAAACCACAAGCCAGGCATGGTGACATATACCTGTCATCCCAACACTTGGGAGACTGAGGCAGGAGAATCACCTAGGCCAGCCTGAACTACATAGCAAGACCCTGACTAAAAAAAACAAAAACAAATTAAGAATCCACAAATAGGAACTCAAAACTCAGGAAAACAGACCCAAGTGACGTTTGATATCTTGCTTTCTTATGGACACTTGTGCATATGGTTTTATATTCTGTCTTACGGTGTGAAAATGTTAAGGTACATCTATCTAAAATCTGAGTGTGGCTGCACATGCCTACAGTTATTAGCACTGGGAAGGCTGAGGCAAAAGGATTGAAAGTTTGATGTCACTTTGCTCTACAAAAGAATCAAAAGAATTCAAAACCTGCTTGGATTATACGTGAGACCCTGTCTCAACAACGGAAAAGAAAAACACTACCAAAAACCAAAATACCCCATGTGAAATAAAGTAGGTTATTTCATGAAGCTTTGACAAGTGGTCCATATTCTAGGTGCCCTATTGTGGAGTAAGTCCCCTAGACCCCCAAATCTGTGGTGATCAACTGCTTTAAGCTTTACAAGGCTGTTTTTTTTTTTCCAAGGCTGTTTTTAAGACAAATCTTGGTAAGGCTCACTTAGCATTAAGCTGTGCTACAAATGTACAAGTAACATGATACTCTATTTTTACAAAGTAACCCTTCAAGTTGATTTCAAAAACAAGGGTCTAAGAAAGAGCACAGATCAGGTTGTGCCATGGAAACTTACCCATGATAATGTCCTCTAAGTATCCAACCACAGCATCAAATTCTGCATCAGAGGCAGAGGAGCTGAAAAATGTTCCAGGATTAGGTGTTAATTCAAATAACTTAAACTTTTAAAAAATTATGGTTATCTTTCAATATGCACAAGGGAAAAAATAATACCAAGATGAATTGCCCGTTGACCAACTATGACCTATTAGTTAAATATAATGATAGTTCCACTTTGACAAAGCTTGACAATGAATCACAAAACGCAGAAAGGATAGTTGAAGCTGGCGTGGGACATGCCCAGGCTCCTCCGCAGTTATTTCCTGTGGGCTCTACTCACTGCATGGTGGCTATCGCACCACCTCCACCTGCTGGTCAGCGCGAACCCGGCGGGGGTGAGCCCTGGCCCAGAGGGAGATTTCATTAGAAGTCGCTCCGGGAAGGGGGTGCGGTGGTGCAGGGTCCCCTGTTCCAAGCCTCTCCGAGGATCAAATAAGCCAGATTTTGCTGACTGCCAACGTTCAGGCCGGATAGAGATGGAGGTGCTTCCCCGAAAGTCTGTCTCCCCAGAAGTGAAGTGGAGCCTTGGTTGTCCTCCAACGCGCCCCCGACCTCCCAGCACACCCACTCGGCAGGGCCGCGGCCGTCACTCACAAGGACAGCGCCAAGTTCTCCTCTTCCAGGGCGTCCATCATCGCAGAGCTGCATCTACCGGAGCGGGCGCGCTGGCTCCTCGGCCTCTTACCACGCCCGCGCCTCGGGCTCAGCCTCGGGTCTACTTTGCGGAGCCC